AATCACACTCTGATATCTCAAGGGCAAGAAATGAATTTCTTCCATTATTAGTTAGTGGGCTATTAGTTTAATACATCAGCCATTTCCCTTTCAGTGGCAGTGTTTCCACTGTCGTCTCTGAAATACTTTACAATCTGTTACTGGTGCAATACTGGAAAAAGCTTTAATTACTTAATTTAGCTCTGCTTGCAATATTCGTCCCTCTCGGCCGGTGCAATGTCATCTTTAACCTGCACTTACGGTTCATTACACTCCTTGTCTTTTACCGGCTCCTGTCCTTTCGGGTCCTGGTCTGTGGCCCTACAGATGTAGGACTGTGGGTTCATGGGACAGGGTCCTGATTCTGACTGCAGGCTGTCCTGGCAGATGCCTGATGATGACGGCGATGCAGCTGAGGACCCAAACGATAACGGCGAGGATGAGCAGGAGGAGGCGTGGCCTGCCCACCCCCTTCCTGGAGGGGAGGGACCAGAGCAGAGAGCCCGCCCCCCCGGACAGGTACGCTGGCTGCGGTGTGTTGCTCCTGTCGTCCCTCTGACTGTCTGTCTGCTCCTCACAGTCTCTCTCTCTGCCCTCAGGCCCCTCCCAGCACTGCTGCAGGCCTGGGCGCCCATGTGCAGTCCCCCGGAGGGTACCCCGAGAACGTACGTACCAGCCCGTCTCCCTCGCCTGCCGATCAGCGCTTCACCCATCGTCCTCCTGACCACGTCTCTGTCTGCAGGGGGGAGGTGGGGATCAGGAGGGCCTGCCTGAAGAGGAGGATGAGAAGGAGGAAGAGTACTGATCCCTGGAGATGCCTCAGCTCTGACCCCCCCGTCTCTCCGACCCCCCATCTCTTTGTCCCCCTCACTGCCTCTGCTCGACCCCGGCTCTGACAGCTCCTTCACTTCCTCGCTCCCTGCGAATGGGGGTCTCTCTGCTGCTGCGGGGCCCCTCTCTGCGCCCTGCTGGACAGCGGCTGCTGACAGTCGTGTGCAAGACGCTGGACAGGATGCGTGGGACAGGTGGGCCCTGGCGGACCTGTACGCTGAGCCGGGCCGCCCACACGGACTACCGGTGAACCCTGCCTCAGTGCTGATCCTGCCAGAGGAGAAACGGTTCAGCCTGTTCGGATTCCGAGCCCCTCAGACCGGCCCACAGCGCTCACTGCTGCTCCCTCGCCTTCACCTGTAGGGGGCGCTGTCTGTCGGGGCTGCGTGCTCTAGCTCAGGCGAGCCGTGCTCTCGGGTGTCAGCTGAGGACTGGAGACACGCAGTCTGCCACCCTATGAGGAGCTCAGATGGGGAGCCCCGCGGTGTCCGATATCAGGAGTGGGAATTTTGGGCGATGTGTTCACCCCGGTGTTGAGGAAGAGCAGTCGAGGGTCTCGAACCCCCTGTTCTCAAGTACCAAGAGGGGCGCTGGGGTGTGCACTCTGTCTTCTAGACTGTTGGATTGAGACCTAAACTGGTTTCAAAATAATGTGAACACGATGTAGCCATTATTTTTATAGTTCTGATTACCATGTGCGTGACTGTTTCCCTGGTTATCCATGGTAGGATTCTCTTGTCTGCTGCCTTGCGGTTTCTGTCCTGGTGCGATTGGAGTGGTGTGCTGGTTCTGCAGGAGGCCCCTCCGCAGACCGACCCCAGAGAGGGTCAGGGGGCTGGTCGGGGGCGGGGGCTGGGCCATGAGGAGTTCTGGAAGGCTGTATCCTGAAGAATCCGTGTCTGTTATCCACATTCCCAGCCAGCGTGCAGAGTCTGTGGAATCCTGGGCCTGAGCCCGTACTCTTGACGCGAGGGCAGGGGAGGGGCAGGCAAGCGGTCTGAGCAGCTGTGTCCTTTCATTCAGGCCGAGTGGCTCTCAGGCACAGCCTCCTCACCACGGCACAGGGCCTGGCAGTGTGCAAGAGAGCGTGCCAGTGTGTCATGGGGCGTGTCAGTGTGTAAGAGAGTGTGTCTGTGTGTAAGAAAGCGTGTCAGTGTATCACAGGGTGTCGGGGTGTAAGAGAGTGTGTCAGTGTATCACAGGGTGTCAGGGTGTAAGAGAGTGTGTCAGTGTATCACAGGGTGTCTGTGTGTAAGAGAGCGTGCCAGTGTGCAAGAGAGCGTGTCAGTGTGTCGTGGGGCATGTCAGTGTGTAAGAGAGTGTGTCTGTGTGTAAGAAAGCGTGTCAGTGTATCACAGGGTGTCAGGGTGTAAGAGAGTGCGTCAGTGTGTCGCAGGGCATGTCAGTGTTTAAGGGAGTGTGTCAGTGTGTAAGACAGTGTGGCAGGGTGTAAGAGAGTGTGTCTGTGTGTAAGAAAGCGTGTCAGTGTATCACAGGGTGTCAGTGTATAAGAGAGTGTGTCTGTGTGTCGCGGGGTATGTCCAATGGCAGGGAGAGACTCTTCTCTCCTGTGTAATATTTTGCTTTACTGAGATGCGTATGTTTTAATAGAGCTCTACACACGATCTTTGTGTACACTTGCAATAAAGGCTTTGTAGCAGAAGGCTCCGGTGGGTGGGTCTGGGTGATGTAGACGGGAGAGGCCACTGTTCAGCTCTCCAGCAGGACTTCCGCTTCTGTGAGACTGGAGGTGGTCTTGGCTTGTGGGATCTAACCACTGGCCGATTGCCTGTTCTCTCAGTGACGTGTGGTGTGTGTATAAATGAGTTGCCCAGGGTATGTACTCCATGTCCACACTGTGTCACGATTCTGAACTGCAGTGGTTCTGAACCCACATCCTGTGGGGGACCCCGAGATTTTGTTTCAGCTCAGCCCACAATCTCCAGCACTCACTGGTGCCCTTCCCACCCTCTGTCCTGTTTCTCACGGCGCTTCTGGACTTCTGACCCA